GTCACAGTTCATGCGAGCGACAACCAAAACGTCACTCTATACGGAGAAGAATGCGCAGTGATATACTGAGGAATCACCTCCGGGTACAACCATTAAAAACAAACTGGCTTTGTCCTTGCGAACCATAATTGCTTCCGATGTTGATGTTTCTGTGGACATGCATACTGTTTTTTCAGCAAATTTCTCAGATATACAATGTTATATCAAACGATGTACTAGTAAACTGCATCATTCAAAAATTAACAGAGCCTAGAAACTTATCAGTGGAACCTTATATTGTGGTGAAGCTTCAGCTGCACATATTACCACAACCATAAACAGCATCACCCACTTCGCGGGCGCGGCCATTTTTGGACACTTTTCCTGTAGAGGAAAGGTTAGATCAGTACTCTTGACCACAGTTCGTAAGAGATCGTCAACTCTTATCATCAGTTCGACATAACAAAGCTTAAGTTAACTATAAAAACATGAAGAATACTATATACTTGGAAGCGATATACCGCAGTTCTATCGGATGACCGATAATGGACTAATTTAGGAATTAGTTCAGCTAACACTGACTTAGCTTAGTTCACATGCTGCGTCGGTGGATAACACCGACGCAGCAGTTTTTTTAGAGACTTTCCCTTTTAAAACTGACTTACTTTGACTTTTCGGCAAATAATCTAAAACTGACACAGTGAGGCTAGGCACTGGATCAAACTGACGAGATTTCGAGTATCACGGTGCTTTTATGGTAGAAATTTGACATGTCGAAATAGCTGCACTTCTTCCACAATTTGACTTTTGTTTTGCGGCTTTATCGACTGAGTCAAAAGGAGGATTTTAAGAAAATTTGATAATTTTCAGAACATCTAAAAATATAGCTGATAACCGGAAGGTTAGTTTCAAGTCTTGGATAATTTATTGCTTCAAATGGTACTTCGCCAAGTAATTTTGTAATAGCGGTATAGCTGTCATATTTTTGGCCTTGGTTATGCCATATGAAATGTCAAGCTTTGTTCATTGCTTATTGCCGTTATTGTTTGTTTGAAAGATAAATATTTGAGGAGACGAACTGCTTAATTAATAAATAATTGATTATTTTGAATCAGTTTGAAGGTGCTTCCATGCAGTTTCATCACAGGAATCTCATCTCACAGCTATGCTGGTTTTTTTAGAGAAAATGTCCAGATCTTTAGAGATCAAGATGATATTTATGTCATTTATATTTGTTGGAAAATTTCGAATAGTTTTCTATGCCATTTTTCGGGGTTTTGTATCTAGCCCCATGCTTAGCTAGGTCCCATTTTGGCACCCATTTGATGGTCATTTGAACTCATTTTTCGAAAGTTTTTTTTTTTAAAGGCATCTCATTCCAATGTTTTTTTTCCAGTTTGAAGAAATTGTAATGGATGTGAAAGTCCAGAACGTTGTTTATTAAGTTGTTATAAGCAGAAGATCGGGTGCTCTAAAAAGGGATCTCAGAAATATCTTGGAAGACTTAGAGGATTTTCTTGAATGCAGCAAGGTGCATTTCCATGTTTGATGTTAAACATCAAATTAGCGCGGGTAAGTTCATAGTAGAAGAATTGTAACGGTAAAACATCGGCATCAGTAAACAAAGGAATTGCATGCTGGTTGCGATCAGAAAAGTAACTAAAAGCGAGGGTACATAACCCTTCGTCAGGGCGAAGGACGAAACGTCAGCTTTTAAACCCTAAACGCTCACCAATTAACGTTATCAACTCGTTGATAATACTGAATTACCCTATCAGACCATAAGTTAAGTATGGTGCAATAAGAGAAAAATAAATGTTTAAAAAACGTGTGTTGGCACAAAATATCGTATTTTTGAGGTCATTTGTACCACACATAGCTCTCGTTCAGTCACTCAATAGACAGGGAAGAACTCCCTTCGCGTGAACATCATTAGCAGTCTGCTTACGAAGGGAAAGTTTTTAAATTGAAGAATTGACCGTCCCTATTTATTTTAGAGGAAAAGGACATTTTTAAGTCGGAAGTCAAAATTTCACTAATCGAATAAAGTGTTTTTTCCTTGTAAAGTACGTTTAACGTAGGATCGGTTTCTTATTACCGTTGATAACAACAACTAATACTTTCCACAATCAGAAAGCCACAAGTATAAGCAACTAACTGTTCAATTATAACCAACAGAACTATATTTGCATCTTACTCGCTTAACTCTGTATTAACATGCAAAACGCAACAATAGCCATTTGTTAACCGGGTTTTGATCGTCATTGAGTGTTTGGACGGGTAAATATCTACCAGCGCGTTGGGAACGAACTGACACAAACTGAGTACGAATATTCTTACTCTGGGTACGAATCGACTGAGTGCGAAACGTCCGTGGCTACAAAACGACTGGATTTTAGTGGACTTCTCTAGCTTTTACGCTCTGTTTTCCGTCTGAAGGTCTCAAGGGGATTCCCCTCTTTGTATTTCGTAGATCAAGCGTCCAGAAGCACGTGAATAGAACAAAATTTGAAAGAAACTGGAAATGATTTAGTTAATCAACTGAGTTGATAATATTTCGAGATGTAGTCCTTTCTCTTAGCGAATAGAAGAATATAGTGGGTTGTGTGTGATTATATACGTAGGAAAATACCTAGGTAGTTTGGAAAGCTTTAACACTCTAGAACAAAAATTTATTTTTAACATCGGTTCTCTTGTTCCCCTCGGTATGAACATTGACACAGCAAAACAATTTATTTAGAAACTTACCCACTTTATTCATTTGAAAAAGAAACAGCACTCTAGAGTATTATTACAAGAATCACATTGGAAAAAAAAAACATTGAAGTTAACGAAGTATATAAGTACTATAGTTATCCACTTTTGTGTTCCAAATGATGTTTTCATGGCAACGTCAAATTAGAACAAATGTGTAGCCAATAAGGGCAGATACATTTTCCATCATAAAAGCACCGTGATACTCGAGAGCGCCGTCAGTTTTATCCAGCGCTTAGCCTTACTGAGTCAGTTCGAGATCATTTGCTCAAAATTCAAGGTAAGTCGGAGCTAGTCGGTGTTAAAGGGGGTACGTCTCTAAAGAAACTGTGGTGCTGCGTTGGTGGGGAATGTCACAAGATAATTTGGTTTTAATAACGGAGTTGATAATGTTAATAAGTTACCGTTAAGAATTTGTAAAGCTAAGCTAGATCAGTGTTACTTGGACTGATTCCTGAAAAGCCAGTGAGATCTTCATCTGTTATCGTTTGCTATACCTTTGCTATACCAAAAGAACGCTGAATGAATATTCATCGCCTCTCTTACCATTATACCGCTCAAAATTTGGCGCCTTTTCAGCTTACATGATTAACTGAGGCCTAAAATACGTCATTTTACAAAATTTGTCATTTCGAAGCAAGATTATCTTTGTTCCTGTTCCAACTTCTTTCTGAGTTGGTTTCAAAAGTATAACTTGTAGAATTGCGCACGATATCAGAGAAAGAGAAATTATCTGAAGAGCACCGCGCCCACTGTTCCAGTAGGTTCCTAGGAAACCTTATGTAACCTTGTTAACAAATTAGTACCCCGTTCACAGGCTAGTTCACGAGCCTCAAGTTATCCTTCAATTGAGAAATACAGAAAAAAGGAAATATATGATCACAAGTTAAGAAAAATTCAAGGCAAAGATAACAACAGTGTTGTCAGTGCAAATGCAAATACAATACTCTGGGTGACCCAAGGGGAAACAATTATGAAATAAAGCATTATAATTCTTTGAATGAAGGGGTACCTTTCTAAAGGAACTGTGGTGCTCTGTCGGTGGGCGAGTATAACAGGGTAATTTAATTAATTATCAATTGAATTTATAACGTAAATTTGCCACCTTAAAAACGTTTCGAGCGTCAGCCCTTCGTCAGCACAGTTGATAATACTCAACTTAGTTGATCATACCAAATTACACATTATAATCCCTTATTTAGTGAAGGATGCCTTAAGGGATGATTAAGTCTTCCATTATTCTTCCTTTGATTAAGTCTTCCATTATTCTTCCTTTGATTAAGTCTTCCATTATTCTTCCTTTGATTAAGTCTTCCATTATTCTTCCTTTGAAGGCATTTTTAACCGAACACAATCTTTCCACGCAAAACTCTGTCTTGGTGAAGCTTTAAGATGCTTGGTTAACTCATATTTATGACTTCTCTCCAAATGTTCAGACTTGCGAGCTTCAAAGTTTTTGGAAAGTTTCACTGATACAACTTGCTCCACACAAACGCATTCCTTCACGTACCAAAATGGCTTTGAGGAAGTTTTTGTCCTTGTGGTTGAAAAGGCTTATTTGGCGCATTTTCTATAAAACAGATAAGATAAATTGTGATTAGTGAGTTCAATCAATTTTGAAATGAAGGTTTCGCTGCCGCTCTCACAGAACGGGCGATTGATGAGGATCATTCTTCGATCTTTAAGCAGAAAATTAAGTATTAGGGCTCATCATATTTCAGTGCTTGATATACGAAATTGAGGATAGTTTTATCCACAAATTTATAGGAACAACCAGCTTTATGGAAGATAACTTTTATTTCCAGGACGTCCTTGATAAGGCTTGTTGGGAAATTTTTACTTCTGTGTAAGGCAGCGCCGGGCAACATAGTTTCTCTTCCATTTTAGAAAGGGAACTTTTTTTATCTACTTTACCTTTCAAATCTCTGTTTATTAGAAATGACGACCGCCAATAAAAGACAGCGAGGCGTAGTTAGGAGTCTCAGAAGACTCACCAACATAATAACCCCCTTGGGATGTTGCGAGAACATTCGAGTGACTTTATATTCAATTCTCGCGCAGTCCAAACATCCCACGTGAGTTATTACGTCGGTAAACCGATAAATAAGCGGTATATTGATTAATTTGTCTAGGTATACAGTTTTTTTCATGTTGATATGGTCAAGTTAAGTTCTTTCTTTATATCAAACTGATGATAAGAGTTGATGATCCCTTAAAAACTGAGGTCAAGAGTATTAAACCTTCCTTCGCAGGAAAAGTGTCCAAAAATGGCCGCGCCCATCAAGTGGATGATGCTGTTTATGGTTGTGGTAATAGGTGCAGCTGAAGCTGCCCCAAAATTTAACGTTTCACCGGTAAGTTCTCGGCTCTGTTCATTTTTGAATGATGCGGTTTACTAGTACATCACTTGATGAAACATTATTATCTGAGAAGTTTTGCTGAAAACACAACACGCGTATCCGATGAAACATCAACACCGGAAGCAAATGGTTCACAGGAAATTGAAATGGCTAGTTGGAATTATTGACGGTTTTAATTATAAACAAGTGATCTCATTCCATAAAAGATATATTACATTCCTTAATTATCAGCTTAATTAGGATTAGGAACCATTCATTATTCTCGATGGGGGGGGGAAGAGGGTCAGAAAAGTTTTTTGGGGGCTGTCAGATGTTTTTCAGGGGTAACGGGAGGGGATCACTTGTCGTTAAAGGAGGAACTTTTAAAAATTGATTGCGAAATCATAAGAATATCACCGAGCCCCAAGGGGGGAGGGAACGATCAGTTGAATTTAATCGTGTCACATCTGAAATCCTTCCTCCCCACTCAGGCGATAAATTAAGACTAGTAACTTGTTATAGCCAGACTTAATAATTATACTGCAAAAACTGAAATTTGAGTACAAATGTTAAATAAATTGAAATTAAGCAGGATTGCAACCATCACAATTAAATCATCACAAAAAGTTCTTTTTAGTCTCTACCGTTTATTTCGAGCCCTCGCGGAGCACCACAAACCGTATCAAGAAGTCAAATTCCACATCAGCCAAGGACTACGAGCCATCCTTCCTTTTAAGTGAAGTTTGTTGCGCGAGTAAACAAAATCAAAGAAAAAAAATTGATGTGAGCGCACTCTTACAATTTAGAGAGGAGCGCTATCATCACTTTTTTTTTTAATGCAAGCAGCGGACTTCGCCGAAAAGGAGAAACTACTCGTAGACTACGTCAGCCTGTGTGGACAGGATTTTCAGTGATTCGGAAAGGAAAGTCATAGAAGAACTCTCATTGGGACGCTGGTCTAAAAGTTTTCGTGATACCGCCATAGTGAATCAAGAATAATTCTGTGGTCGAGGTTTTCGCACCATATTGACTAAAAGTTTGTTTTCATTGCAGAGAGAAACCAAGAACTATGTGCAAGATGAAAGTAAGTAGTAAGTTTTAAAAAAATATCTTGAAATGCAATATATTTTCAAAACTTCAACGAGCCACAGAATATTTTTTTTTTTTGGGGGGGGGGGGGACGTGGGGGTCTTAACCCTTTACATCCTAACATCAGTATGTAAAGTCTCCATACCTTTCCGCTATACATTTGATATGGCACTTACATGGAGAATTTGTCTAATTATCAAGAGTTTCTTGAGTTCGTGATCATTTCCTTTATTCTCATGACCTTAATGTTTGATTCAGGGGTGACAAAATCGGGAGAAATTAGATGGCTACCACTCTTAAGGACTAAAAGGTTAAAGCAAGCAATATGTACTCCAGATCGAGAGGTCACTCTTTCGCACTGTTGTGCTGCACACAATGCCTATCTCATCCCCCAAGAGTACAAATTGGCACAGGCATACTGTCTAAAATACTGGAAGATGGTCAGAGGGATGGGGGGGGGGGGGGAGTGGTAAACCTAGTTAGACTAGCCCTCCATCCAGGGGGAGCTGGTGTAGCAAAATTCCTAGTCGCCTAATTCTACTTGATCCTGTGTATGTCTTAATGGTTAGGAGTTAACCAGTTAAAAAAAATGTGTACCATGTAACTTGATATTGTTCGTTCCTGCTTTACGACATCCCTTCTAAAGTTATAAGTCTTAATTTCGCCTTCATTTGTTTCTTTGTTCAGGTCTATTTGAAAAGCTGGACAGCAACAATGATGGATTTGTCTCTGAGAGTGAACTCAACAAGTTTAAAATACAATGGAACGAAGTTAAGGTTTACGACCTTAACAGTAAGTATGGCCTTTTACACTTGTTAACCCCTTAAACCCTGAAAGTGACCAGTATCTAATTTCTCCTTACAATAATACTGCTAAGTCATTCATTAAGATAATAAGAATTAAAGAAATAATCTCCAGGCTCTGATTGTTAAACGAATTCTCCTTGTCAGTACCAAAGAGAATGTGCAGAGAAGAGAATAGAGAATATCAGTGCTCATGTCAGGATGTGACGGGTTAAGGGTTGGAAGGGTTAGCGTTTGATTGAGCCTCCTAAAACAGGTGCATGATAAAAAAAATAGGTCCGCAATGGGAAACAGGTGTTCAGTTCTAGAATTTTCAGTTTATGTCTTGAAACCAGTATTTTCTGAATTTCTTGTAAGTTCTGAACAAGTCCTCTACTACTTTTAGTCTTTTACCCAAAAGAGGGGAGGATACTGTCGACAAAGTGTGAGAGCAAATTTGTTGTTATCGTTCAGGAATGAAATTCTGTTTAGTGTGTTTGATTTAAACCTTAACACCCTAACATCAGTATGCATATTCTCCATACTGTTCTTTGTGCATTTCCTAAGGTGCCGACAAGAAGAATTTGTTTAACAATCTAGCGCTTCTTAATTGATGATCATTTCCTTTATTTTCATGACCTGAATGTGTTATTCAGGGGTGATATTGTGAGGAGAAATTAGATGGAAGTTACTCTGAATGTTGAGAAGCTCAGTCTTTATGGTTTTCTTTCCGAAGATGACAAAAAATTAAGTGAAGAGGAACTGGACATCCTGGAGGCAGTTTCCAAAAACATCAAAGAGACAAATTACCTCAATCACTTTAGGGCAGCTGACCAGAACCATGATGGATATGTCACAGCCGCAGAGCTGAAATCGCGATTCCAAGCTCTTGGAAGTAGCTATACTTTGCAGCAAATGACTAATTTTATCAATAGCAAAGACCAAGATGGAGATCAAAGGTTTAACTACAAAGGTAAGAATTCACCATTTGAATTTAAAACAGATACATGCAGCGAGTCAGGGAATTTAGAGTTGTTTTTACAAGGACTGCAAAAAATAATCTTTAAAAAAATGTGATGTAAAAATACCGTGATGTATGGTTCACCATAATTTACGCAGTTTTTTCAAGGTGTGCTAAGTTAAGCTACGCAAAATGTTTTTACCAAACGACAACCAAGTAGCTACAGCGTGTTAAATGTACGAAAGGGAAAATAAAGAGCTGAAGCGCAGTGGTTCAGGAAAACGGCAAACACTGAAATTTTGTGCAAACGCTTTCTGCCGTTTGCTTAGTAAACTGAAGAGATTTGCATATACTGCGAACAAGATGTTTGCATTTGTAGACCTCTAAGGATGATGGGATCGTAGGAAAATTTGCCAAAATCAGAGTTCAATTTTTGCACTTTGCCATTTGCCCTTGTCATAAAGTCATTAGTTGATGACGGTCTTGGAAAGTCCACTCGTGGCTAAGGGACGTGTATCTTGTTCAGTGTATGGGCTACAGACATACGACGACAAAATACTTCTTTAACATTCATCGTAACTCTATGTTATTTCTCCAGTTACCTTTAGTTTTTTTTGGTTTGGATGCATCTTGTTGTTTGTTTTTTTCTGTATTTCAACCATAACGGAAAGACTTCTTTGAATGAGAGCTGACTATCTTTCCTGGTAGAAAAGGCTGGGATTTAATTGTTGTGAAATAGAAATAGTCTTATAGAAAGATTTTTTGCGTCTTGTCACGAGTGTGAGACAAAGAAAAAATTCTGAGTCCTAAGCTCGTGACAAGACGAAAAAATCTTCCTCTATTTCTTTACCGAGCTCAAACCTCACCATCTTTCTTATTCTGTTCACAAAAATGGCCTTCTCTGTCTTTTTTCATTAACCTTACATAAAAACCTTTAAACTCTGGCAATGATCCCTATTTCTTTCTTTCTTGTTTTTTTAGAGTTTAAAAAAGCGTTGTTTAACGCGGTGTGAGATCTGAAGGACCCCAGATCACCCTGATGTGTCCTCAGCATTATGATGCAGTGAAGGAAGATGATTCAGATCTTTGCTTGTAAAAACTGCTTACCTTCCAGCTTATCTGAAGGTTAATAAAATAGTGATGCAGTATTCTAGACTGTTTTTATTTTTTTTCCTTTTTCCATTGGTCTGTGAATTGCGTAGGCAACAACAGCGCGTCAAAAGTAAATGCATATTAGGATTTTCCTAACTGAAGAGATTTTAAATTTCTTGCACTCTATCAAAAATGGTTTCGGTAAATTTCTAGATGTAAAATGGTTTCGGTAAATTTCCAGATGTACCTTGTTTTTTTTTTCCCACACGCCTTAGAAAAAAATTTTACACCCCTGAAAACCTAACACCCAAAGTACCTACACTTTCACGGCCAAAATATTCAACATTCAGTATCCCATGGTCCAATAAATCTAAGACCTAAAAAAAGACATCTGAATCCAAAGGACCGAAGACCCGAAAACCACTGCCCCGAAAAAGACAAAAAATAAAATTATTTTGACGCATCAGAGCGCATACAACACCGTCAGCTTCGTATTCCAGCACCAAAGAAACCGAAACTCCCCTCTTATGACGATGAATTATTAGCTCGTAAGAAAAAATAGCGGATCAATATCAGTATCTGGGCAACTGCCCACCTACCCCTCCCCTAACCCAACAACAGTCTATTGATAACAAGTTAGGGTTAATGTTGGGTTAGGGGAGGGGTAGGTGAGCAGTTACCCAGATACTGATATTGATCCAAAATAGCTTTAACCCCTTAACCCCTAAGAGTGATTAGCTTCTAATTTCTCTTTACAACATCACCCTTGCATTACACATTAAGTTATTGAGAAAAAAGGAAATGATCACCACCAAAAAGCAACTCTTTCTAAAATATAAATAAAATATAAATAAAATAAAAAGACGTCAGCATGCAACCCACAGACCCACAGGCAAATGGATCGAGCGTATTAGCCTAAAACCGTAAAACGGCCAAAATATTTAGCCGTTAGACCTAAAAATTGACAAATTTTAACCGTTAGTCGTAAAAAAAGTTAACCGTAAAAAATATCTCTGGTGGAAACAATGGAAAGGTGTTAACCGTTAGCCGAAAATTGGCCAAAATTTTAACCGATAGCCGTAAAAGCCATCACCCCATTGAGACCCTCTACAAAGCGCACGCCTTGTAAAGCTATGTTATAATGAACTTTTCCATAGGAAATTTAAACGAGGAAACATCTCCGAAACAAAAACCAACAAAAAATTACGGACATGTTTTGTCTCCTGAAGACGAGTGCACAGGTTAAAGAGGGTAGTTTTCCGCATTGCATTGTCTGTTAAGATTAGCTTTGATGGCTGCAAATGGCTGGATGAAGTTGATATTACACAATGTATGTTAGCTCTTTTTTCCTTGAGCAGTGTAGCAAAATGAAATGATTTTTTTCTTAACCCTTTAACTCCTAAGAGTGATTGATATGTTATTTCTCCTTACAGTATCACTGTGTAATAAAACATAGAGGCCATAAGAATAAGGGAAATGATCAACAACCAGAGAGGCTCTTGATTGCTGATCACACTTTCCTCATCAGTATCATGGAAAGTTTATAAAGAACAGAACAAAGAATATGCCTACTGCTTCTATGGTTTAAAAGGTTAAAGATGGTCATCATGGGTTAAAGTTCATGGCAACACTCCACCCAAAAAATATCTCAAGAGTTACCCCCACCCCCTCTCCCCCTGTGAGGCAGTTGCATTATCTTCAGATACACCTGTTTCTGGAAGAGGTTGATTTATTTAACCCTTTACCCCCTAACATCAACATGCATATTCTCCATACTGTTCTCCATACATTTCCAAAGAGGCTAACAAGGAGAATATGTGTAGCAGTCAAGAGCTGCTTTAGTGATCATCTCTAATCTCATAACTTCTTGTTTGATTCAGGGGTAACAAAACAACGGTAAGCACTCGTACTCAAGTAGCAAAATATTTTGCTTTCTTGCTTAAGACTAAATAATACTTCCACAGAATTGCAACAATCTGCCCATCAGGGAGTTTTCAAGTATTCTATCCTTACCTCACTTGATCAGTGAATGTCACACGTGTTTTCCATTTTGGAGTTTCCTAGCCTCTCTATCGTAGTTTTCTCCATCCAAACACCATAAAATAACCGCAAATGTGGAATGAAAAGCAAATTATGCTTAGGGCGCTATTTTGATACCAAAATAAGTGATTCCCCTTTTCGATTATTCAAATATTTACGCCGCCATGTTGAATTTACTCTTAACTAGTTCCCAGTGTATGTCGTCCGGAAAAACACCCGGGTCACAGTTCATGCGAGCGACAACCAAAACGTCACTCTATATGGAGAAGAATGCGCAGTGATATACTGAGGAATCACCTCCGGGTACAACCATTAAAAACAAAGTGGCTTTGTCCTTGCGAATCATAATTGTTTCCGATGTTGATGTTTCTGTGGACATTCATACTGTTTTTTCAGCAAACTTCTCAGATATACGATGTTATATCAAACGATGTACTAGTAAACTGCATCATTCAAAAATTAACAGAGCCTAGAAACTTATCAGTGGAACCTTATATTGTGGTGAAGCTTCAGCTGCACATATTACCACAACCATAAACAGCATCCCCCACTTCGCGGACGCGGTCATTTTTGGACACTTTTCCTGAAGAGGAAGGTTAGATCAGCACTCTTGACCACAGTTCGTAAGAGATCGTCAACTCTTATCATCAGTTCGACATAACAAAGCTTAAGTTAACTATAAAAACATGAAGAATACTATATACTTGGAAGCAATATGCCGCAGTTCTATCGGATGACCGATAATGGACTAATTTACGAATTAGTTCAGCTAACACTGACTTAGCTTAGTTCACATGCTGCGTCGGTGGATAACACCGACGCAGCACCACAGTTTTTTTAGAGACTTTCCCTTTTAAAACTGACTTACTTTGACTTTTCGGCAAATAATCTAAAACTGGCACAGTGAGGCTAGGCACTGGATCAAACTGACGAGATTTCGAGCATCACGGTGCTTTTATGGTAGAAATCTGACATGTCCGAAATAGCTGCACTTCTTCCACAATTTTGCGGCTTTATCGACTGAGTCAAAGGTGGATTTTAAGAAAATTTGATAATTTTCAGAACATCTAAGGATTTTTAGACCATAATGTTAAAAAAAATACAGCTGATAACCGGAAAGTTAGTTTCAAGTCTTGGATAATTTATGGCTTCAAATGGTACTTGGCCAAGTAATTTTGTAATGGCGGTATAGCTGTCATGTTTTTGACCTTGGTTATGCCATATGAAATGTCAAGCTTTGTTCATTGCTTATTGCCTTTATTGTTTGTTTGAAAGATAAATATTTGAGGAGACGAACTGCTTAATTAATAAATAATTGATTATTTTGAATCAGTTCGAAGGTGTTTCCATGCAGTTTCATCACAGGAATCCCATCTCACAGCTATGCTGGTTTTTTAGAGAAAATGTCGAGATCTTTAGAGATAAAGATGATATTTATGTCATTTATATTTGTTGGAAAATTTCGAATAGTTTTCTATGCCATTTTTCGGGGTTTTGTATCTAGCCCTATGCTCAGCTTGGTCCCATTTTGGCACCCATTTGATGGTCATTTGAACTCATTTTTTCGAAAGATTTTTGATTTTTTAAAGGCATCTCATTCCAAAGTTTTTTTTTTCCAGTCTGAAGAAATAATGTAATTGATGTGAAAGTCCAGAACGTTGTTTATTAAGTTGTTATAAGCAGAAGATCGGGTGCTCTAAAAAGGGATCTCAGAAATATCTTGGAAGACTTAGAGGATTTTTTGAATGCAGCAAGGTGCATTTCCATATTTGATGTTAAACATCAAATTAGCGCGGGTAAGTTCACAGTAGAAAAATTGTAACGGTAAAACATCGTTATCAGTAAACAAAGGAATTGCATGCTGGTTGCGATCAGAAAAGTAATTAAAACCGAGGGTACATAACCCTTCGTCAGGGCGAAGGACGAAACGTCAGCTTTTAAACCCTTAACGCTGACCAATTAACGTTATCAACGAGTTGATAATACTGAATTACCCTATCAGACCATAAGTTAAGTATGGTACAATATGAGAAAAATAAATGTTTAAAAAACGTGTGTTGGCACAAAATATCGTATTTTTGAGGTCATTTGTACCACACACAGCTCTCGTTCAGTCACCCAATAGACAGGGAAGAACTCCCTTCGCGTGAACATCATTAGCAGTCTGCTTACGAAGGGAAAGTTTTTAAATTGAAGAATTGACCGGCCCTATTTATTTTAGAGGAAAAGGACATTTTTAAGTCGGAAGTCAAAATTTCACTAATCGAATAAAGTGTGTTTTCCTTGTAAAGTACGTTTAACGTAGGATCGGTTTCTTATTACCGTTGATAACAACAACTAATACTTTCCACAATCAGAAAGCCACAAGTATAAGCAACTAACTGTTCAATTGTAACCAACAGAACTATATTTGCATCTTACTCGCTTAACTCTGTATTAACATGCAAAACGCAACAATAGCCATCTGTTAACCGGGTTTTGATCGTCATTGAGCGTTTGGACGGGTAAATATCTACCAGCGCGTTGGGAACGAACTGACACAAACTGAGTACGAATATTCTTACTCTGGGTACGAATCGACTGAGTGCGAAACGTCCGTGGCTACAAAACGACTGGATTTTAGTGGACTTCTCTAGCTTCTACGCTCTGTTTTCCGTCTGAAGGTCTCAAGGGGATTCTCCTCTTTGTATTTCGTAGATCAAGCTTCCAGAAGCACGTGAATAGAACAAAATTTGAAAGAAACTGGAAATGATTTAGTTAATCAACTGAGTTGATAATATTTCGAGATATAGTCCTTTCTCAGAGCGAATAGAAGATTATAGTGGGTTGTGTGTGATTATATACGTAGGAAAATACCTAGGTAGCTTGAAAAGCTTTAACA